ATATGATTTATTTTCAAACGTTCTTTTTCAAAATAGTGTTTTAACAGATTTTATATTTTCAAAAACTTTTTTCAAAGTTAAACGAATTTCATTCTTTCAAAAGTGTGTTTCACAGATCAAATTCATTTCAATTAAAGCTCAGTATAAACACCATCTCTTAAATTCTGTTGCTAATGTCCAGCAGACCAACAGAAATGCATCTGCACTTCATTTCAGAGGAAAGCTGGACCCCAGAAGAGAGGAGAAGGTGATCTGGAAATAGCAATTTGAATATGATGAAATTTTTAAAACTCAATCTGAAAAACAGTCCAAGTTAAACATTTTTTTTCTCCAAGTTTTTTTTTTGTTTGTTTTACTTTTTATCTTTTTTCCAAATTTCTATCCACAAAATATGTTTCTTGCTTGCAAAAATAATGGAACAAAATTGACTCCATATTTAAATATTTTCTTCTGATGCCTAGACTGTCTAAAAGAATAAAAAAAACTCCTAGGTTCTTCTTTACTTTTAAAACTTTTCATTTTCTTTTCATATTTTTACCTCTTGAATTCACTTTTTGCATATGTACAAGTAAATCAAACATAGCTTTTTAAGTTTGTATTTTTCCATCTAAGTATTTGAGGATGTGAATAGTATTTTTATTCACTGAAAAAAGTGAAAAAAAGCATTTTTAAAATTGGTTGAATGAAAAATCATGGTTTCTGTTTCCCTTTTGCTTCAAAGCAAGCACTCCCCCTGGACAAAATGAAACAAAACAAAACTTAGTAAATGGTATTTTCACTTCCAATTTGAGGTTTTCTTGTCATGTGACATCAGACCGCATTTTCCGACTTTGCAGACAGCCATTACCGCTCACTGGCATCGAAGGCATGGACCAACTATCTTAAGTGGAAGCTTTAAAACAGGTAAGAATTCAAAATTGACATGTTTTAGCAGGAATTAGTTACAGTTGATTAGTTACAGGATGGACAGCTAAAATTAATTTAAATAATGTCTGTGTTTTTTATTTTATCTTCTAGGGTTGAGATCTACTGAGAATATCATCCTTTGATGATTGTCTGGCTGCAATAGTTTTTATTTTGCCATGCAAATATGTAAATTTGAATTTGTTGGATGGAAAAAAAAACTTCTTCTCTGAACAATTCGAAAGTAACCCTGCAAAAATTTTTAATTTTGATGCAAAATCAGTTAAATAAAAAAAAAAACTATCACAATTTTTTTTTTTTTATAATTTTATGTAGTTTGTTTCAACAAACTACATTAAAGTATGTAGTTAACAGTTATGTTAACATGTATGTATGTAGTTAACAGGGCAAAGCATTACGATCAGCTATTTAAAGCTGTTTAAGGAACAGACTCAGGCTCAGGTAGCTTCTAGAAAGAGTAGGGACTGTTTCCTGGTGGCTGTGGCCTACCCCAGCAGGAAACCACTGCTTCCCTACAAACTAAAAACGGTTAGTGAAAGGTTTGAGTTAACTGATTGGCCGTAAACTGCCCTATTATTCCAATGCAGTGGAGCATCTGTGGAACATGCTGAACTAAAGTAAAGGCGTAAGCTTATGGAGGAAATTTTCCTCCATTATTATTATATTACATTACATATACATTATTGTTCTTATAAATGGAAATTTGAACCAAAAATGCAAACCAAAGAAAGATTTTAATTCCAAAAAGTAATTCTGCTGTTATCTCAGATCTTTTTTTCTTATTGTTTTACAGATTCTGTTTTGGGTTTTTTGTTTTTGTTTTTTTGACAGATTTTTTATTTTACATTAAAAAGACTGTAATTTGTAAAACTAAACTAAAATTGAAATAGAAATATTTAAACAAAAATATTTCAGATTTTTTTCTAATCTGAAAATCTAAAACAAAAAAATTTCAGAAAATAAAATACGAAATAAACTTGAGAAAAAAAATATCTGAAACAGCAAAATCGCATAAAAACAACTATTTAAAGTTTAATTTATTGATTGCAATTTTATCAAATTTTTATTTACTTTTTTTTTTTATTTCCACATATAACAAGAATTCTTCCTTTTTTAACAATAATGGAACAAAATTTACTCCATAAGAGCTAAGCTAAGGACTTAAGAAAAAAAAAATCCTTCTCTTTCAGGTTGGAGTAGGGATTTTAACAAAAAGAGCTAGCATGCTAACTCTACTTGCTGTTACTACAGTAGCAGCCATTCAAAATGGCCCTTCCCAGTCAATTGCCAGCTGAATGGCAGCAGCCTTCCCTGCAACTCCCAGCAATATCCCCTCCAACGTCCAACCACTGGAGGGACCCCCTCCTTTTCCTGGGCATGCATATTTTTTAACTCTAACTCCACCCTTTCACTGAATAATAGTGACCAGGAGAAAGCGCCTCTCTTTATATCTTAATGTTCACAAATCATCACAAAAAGAACATTTTAGTACAAAGATTGATGTTTAAAAAGCAATTGTAGGGGACCAGCCCAGGGTTCATCAAGGAAAGTGGGGACATTTTGAATAGCTACTACTGTACAACCAAGCGTATCTCCAACAGATGACGATATCATGCTCTGCTAGGCCTCATTTATGTGCCCTAATGGACAAAAACATGTCTGATTCCTTTTTTTTCTTCAAAATTTAAATAGCATTTAAATGGAAGCACAGTGCGTTTTACAATTTGAAAAAAAAAAATCAACAAAAAAAAAGTAAGAAAAAATAGGCCTATTAAACTGACCAAAAATAAAAAGATATAAATCATGTTGTTTGGGCAGTTATATATATATATTTATAGTTATGATTCTGCCAAAAGTGAAGATGTGTAATAAATATTGATAAAAGCAGTTTTATTTCAAACAAATGCACACACTCTTTACCCACATTTTGAACATTTTCTGCATGTAGATTTTGTACTATGATGCTTTTAATATATTACTATTATGAGTTTCTGTTTCTTCTCTTGCATTTTGCACCTTTAGATTCTCTACTACTTGCATGTAGATCTGTTTCTGTGCACTCATGTCAACTTTTGTCACTTTGACGGAAGAACCAGCCTGAGACACAAAGAGCCTGTGATTGGCTACTGTTCAGCAAATCCCACCTTTTGAGAGAGCACTGTTTTTTTCCTGGTTGCCGCTAGCAATGATGTAGAGAAAATAAGTTAAACATTGGATGATTAGAAATACGAATGTCTGTTTTATTCAAGCCTTGCTTTCCTCAATATCAACAGTGTAGCTAACGTTAGCTTAGCTAATACAAATGTCCTAAATTTAACAATAATCATTTACGGGCATATTGCTCCTGCTGGCAGAACATATTTATGGCTTTATTAATCCAAAGCACTTATTGATGACATCACTAAAAAAAAATTTACCAAAGAAAAAACGCTTTTTCAAAAGTCATCATCAGACATGCCCAGAGCAGTCTGGCAAGATATGACTAAACCATCTTTATCTGCATTTTGTTTTTCTTTTTTTTTAGGTTAAGCACTATATATCACAATGTTAGCATGAAGGGAAAACATAAAACTTAAAAAGAGTAGATTCATGTTTAAATCCAAAGCCGAAAAAGTTAGCCACCGGTTATAGCGTAGGATCCCACTTCCGGTTCAGATCGGGCAAAGACGAGTGACAAAACAGAAAGGATTTTTACAGCATTTATTTTCTCAGGAAATACATTATTAACCTTTAACGCATTATATTTTAGTACGTTTACTATTTTTGGGGAGGGAAAACGTCATTTAGGTAATTTTAACAAAATAAAATCGATGATGTATATCTGGATGCGCATGCGCAAATGAGCTGAACGGATCGTGATTCCGGGACAGATCGGGTAGTGACACAATCTAGTAAGACAGTTCTTACTACTCTATTGATGACAATAGGCAACATTTCAAATAGCACCCGATCTCTAGCAGTAGCACAATCTAACCATTAGCTAATTTGTGCATGCGTAACCAGATATACATTCAGGGTCACTATTGATTTTACTCTGAAAAAAAGACCTAAGTTACATTTTGGTACCCGAAGTTACTATAATGCTATAAATAATGCGTTACTATGATGTGTTAAAAGTTAATAATGTATTTCCTGCGAAAATAAATGCCTTAAAATCTTTTTGTTTTATTACTCGTCTCTGCTAAGAAACGGGATCTTATGCTACTTCCAGGAGCTAACTTTTTCGGCTTTGGATTTAAACATAAATCTAGTCTTTTTGAGTTTTATGTTTTCCCTTTGTGTTAACATTATGATATATAGTGCATAACGTAAAGAAAGAAAAAACTAAAATGCGGATAAACATGGTTTAATCATATTTTGCCGGACAACTCGCATGTATGATGATGACGTCAGAGAAGCAGTTTAGCAGAGAAAATGTAAAAAGCATCAAATTATCTAAGCAAAAGTCATACATTTTTTTTTAGATGTGTATTAGCATTTTAGTGATTTAAGGATATAAATAAGTACTTTTAATACCATAATTACATTATTTATGGCGACCAGGATATATATCTGCCTGCCTATGCTAGCATTAGCCTAGATGTTAGCAGAGCATGACAAAAGAATAATATATTTAGGTTGCTCTACTCATGTGATCATGTAAAGACATTAGCATCTACAAAGGTTACATGTGATTTAACTGAATATAATTGAAACAGATTTGAAAAAAACATGTCACATGGCTAACAGTAGATGTATAAAATGGAGTACAACCTCTCAATCAGTAAGTTTTTATCCAATGGATGTGCATTTTCTGAAATAACTACCGAAAGTATCAGTTATGGCTAAGCTCTGCCTGCCCAAGTAACCTAATTTTCTTGGCATTTCGCTGGCAGAACGTAACTATTCAATGACTCTGTCCACAAGCATGAAGAAAACAGCACTGTTTAAAGGGGCGGGGCTTCATGAAAAGTAGCCAATCAGAGAGAGTTTATCTTCTCAGGTTGGTTCCTCCCTCAAAATGACAAAGAAACAGGTCCACAAGAGAGTAAGAGATCATCTACAGGCGAATAAAAAGCAAGAGAACTCATGCAAGGCACATTTTGGGGGCTTCTTGCTACTGAATCTGCACGCCAAAAAAAAAAACACAAAATGCAAGTAAAGATTAGTTTATTTGAGTGTGCACCTTTGGTAGAATTCTGTCTTCATTGCTTTGGATTAAAACGACGGTTGAATTTTTTTTAATATCGGTAATGAGAACCAACCAAAAACAAGTGCAATTTATTTATTTAAGACATATCTAAAGGGAAAACCCTTCATATCTTTATGAGCTGTACTTTCAGAGTATATCATTAAAATGCATTTACTGCTTCCTGTTCAGTTTTATCTTCTTCAGATACAACTCTTTTAGTGATTTATGAATTAGTTGGAGCTCCAGGGCTTTCAGATTTTACAAAGCACATTTCTTTTCTTTTTTTCAGATGGTTGCTGTTTTGCCCCAAGTCAGCCAAATGGTTATAAGCTGTGAGGGGAAATGCATGTTTAGACAGCAAAGAGTGGCTACCCTAACTGTCTGTGAACCCATGGATTTTATGGGTGATAAAGGTATATCTCGAGAATAAAAAGGCTGCATGCTGAGCGACCTGCGTGGATGGATGTCCCCTGGGGTAGCAGAGGCTTTTCGCACACTTCTTTTTCACGCTTTTAACTCTAGCCGGATGAGCCTTTCTTATTGCCTAGAAACCTCGCTCTAGTGTCCGTTATGTACACCTGCCCTGCAGAAAGGGCAAGACTGCTGCAGGAAGCAAGGGAAGACAAAATGCACCAATATTATAAAACTTTGCAGACTGGTTTGAGTGATGAATACGTCAATGAATCTTAAATTTGATGGTGATTCACAAACAGGAACCGACAGGGTAGGTTGGTATTTTTAGATCGTAGAAGGATCAAACGCGGTCTCTGATAATTGAAATGGCAGGGATCATTAGTGTGAACTAAGACAGCATGATCACATATCCAGACTAATTAATCATCTTCATCGTTCATCAAATGCAAAACAAGAACTCTATCTAATCTGGTCAGTTTTAATATGTTCCATCAATTTATATATATATATATATATTCTTTAGTTTTTGAAAACTGCCTGTAAAAACTGTAGGATCAGCTCCATCATTTACGTTCTTTGCAAGCATAAAAATATGGTAAATTTAGCACAATTTTGGCACTTCGGCAACTAATTAATCATCTTCATCAATCTTTAAATGCAAAACAAGAACTCTATCTAATCTGGTCAGTTTTAATATGTTCCATTAATTTATACAAATGCACAAATACAGGTTTTTATATACATAAAAAATTTGCTGATTTACCATGCTTTTATGCTTAAGGATGGAGTTGATCCTACCATTTTTATGCAGTTAAAAAAAAAGGATAGATAGATAGATAGATAGATAGATAGATAGATAGATAGATAGATAGATAGATAGATAGATAGATAGATAGATAGATAGATAGATTCTTTATTTTTTGAAAACTGCCTAAAAATCGTAGGATCAACTCCATCCTTAAGCATAAAAATATGGTAAATTCAGCAAAATATTGACACTTCAGCAACTTTTCTAAAAGCAGTGTGAGCACTGGAAAAGGCGCAGGTAATTAAATGCATTCTTCCCCAACAACAGAGAGTAGAAAGGATCTGGGTGCGCAAAAACCTTGCGCAAAAAACGCACCTTTTCTACATGCTGCCCCATTTAAGTACATTCATAAATACTGGTTGTTTTTTATTTCCCCACACTGATGTTTTATTGATTTTAGATCAAGATTCCTCTCTAATAAATCCTCTTCACATCTTTCTCCTGTTGCGCACGGATTTAATAGCTGTGCACCTACCTGTGTCCAAAAAGAGTCCAAATAAAGTCGCCAAAACGAGTAGACGCATCCTCTCCTGAATGATACCCGGAGGAGAAACATCAGACCGAGAGCAATCAGAGGGAGGAGGGACAGATCCACGGCGGAGGAGACCCGGACGCGGAGCGGCTCATCCTCTCTGTGGTGGAGGGAGGCAGGGATGGAGGCGGAGAACAGCTCCGCAGAGGTGAAGCGCTCAGACGCGACTGGAGGGGAGAGATGCTGGAGCGCAGGAAGCTTAAAATCCACCACGTGATGGCGGCTGCCTTGTTAATATCACTCACACACCTTCACTCAAAACATGTCAAATTATACTACTTATAATTGGGCGATATTTATCCACAGTACACACAACAAAAAAAAGAGAAAATATATTCCAAGGATCTTTTTCCCTAGCCCAAATAAATGAATGTTTACCCAGAAAAAGCTTGAAATGAACAAAGTTTTTTATTTATTTACCTTTTGTGGAAGTATGTGCAGATGGAGAGCCATTTTCATCAGGTAGTTACATTTACTCAGTTATATTACCTGTAGTTACTTCTAGAAAAAAATTACTTATAGGAATAATTTTACTCAAGCATTACTTAAACTTTACTAATACTGTTTTAGACGTATCAGTGGTGGTTCTAGACCAGGTTTACATTGGGGGTACAGCCATTTGTGACTCAGGGTATAGTTTTAGACAAGGTGATTAGGCTTAAGGCAAGGCAAGGCAAGGCCAATTTATTTGTATAGCACAATTCAGTACAAAGAC